GGAACTATCCAACGATTGTCTAAAATACAGTTTCTGTTATTAGCTCTAATCGTCAAAGTTCTGCCGTTGTTTGGTCTTTTATAAGAGACTTGCCCTTTTTCTGATATTACTGTAAGTTCACTGAATTCTTTCGGAAACTTTTTAGAACATTGGCCATTCACCATACAAACGGAGTCTGGGTTTAATTCTCCGCAAGGGCCGTGTACCATGAAAGAGTAAGTAAGTAAGTAAGTAAGTAAAAGTAAGTAAAATCTTTATTAGTTCACTTTGCATAATAATTACAAAATACCCTTAGGGTGTAGAACTCGTCAATATGTAGTAAAAAATAGTAAAAAAGTTAAATATTTAAATATAAGAAGTAATATTAAATATAAAACAAGATGCACACCAATACTAACATTGCTGATAAGTAAACACGAACAAAATAACACAATTTATGCACTGATACATACATACATAGTATAATGACAATAAATCAATATATATTATCTTCAAAGAATTCCTTTAAAGTATAATATGCTTTGTCTAAAAGAATTTTATTTAATTTTACCCTAATATCTTTGCACGATAAATTTCTTATATCTAGAGGTAATTTATTATAAATTTTTAGTAATGAATATGGGACATTCCTTTGAATATAACTATATTTTACTATATTTTCAGTCACTAATGCATTTTTGTTTCTGGTATCATATAAATGAGATAAGTTAAAATCTGCGAATAAGTTTATATTTTGCTTAACAAATATAATTACTTCATATATGTATAAGCTCACTAAGGTAAGTATTCTTTTTTCAATAAAAATTTGTTTACAGCTATCTGTCTGTTTCATGTTTAGAATATTTCTAATGCATCTCTTTTGTAGTACAAATAAATCGATAGCATCACTAGAGTTTCCCCAGAAGACAATTCCATATTTTATTTGAGATTGAACATATGCATGGTATGCTATAAATGCTGTAGGAATATTAATATTTTGAGCTATTACTTTTAGAGCATAACAGTATTTAGCGATCTTTTGACCAACATGGTCTACATGGGTTTTCCAGTTCAAACGTGAATCAATCTTTACCCCCAAAAAGGAGGTGCTATTCATAGATGTTATGATGTCATTGCCAGTAGTATGTATAATCTCATTATCCTCCTTTTTGTATGTAAAGTTGATTATTTGTGTTTTTTCTTTATTTAATTTTAAATTATTTTTATAGAAATAGTC